ACGTGACCGTTCAGCTGATCTGCGCCGCGGGGGCCGAGTCGCCGCCGTCGGGGCCGTCCCGCCCCGCTCCACCCCCGTCCCGCCCCGATGCCCGCCTCAGTGCCCGCCCCGGTGGCAGCCCCGACGAGGCGGGCAGGTTTACACCTTTATTTGGTTCTCTAGCGAGTGTCGGAGCAGCGGAGACGCCCGCCACCGGGTCCCGGTTCGGCCCGACGGCGCCGCGACACTGCCCCGTCCCGGAGGGGTTGCATAGCGAGGGCGGGGACGGGGACCGTGCACGAGGCAGCGGGCAGCCCGGCGGGGACCAGCCCCGCGGTGCGGTCAGGGCGCGCTGTCCTTGCCGCCGAGGCTGTGCGGGCGGCCGCGCTCCAGGCGCCGCGCGGACAGGAGGCGGCGCAGGGACGACGAGGAGCTCAGGTCGCCGCAGCTCTGCAGGTGGATGCCCTCGGCRCCCGGGCGTCCGCTCCGCGGCGCCTGCACGGACACGGAGTGGTGGGAGGGGTGGAAGGGTCCCCGGCCCGGCATCACGAGCCGGGTCAGGGGCCCTCCCCGAAAGCAGGAAAAGGGTCATTAGGGTGCCCGGCATGAGCCCTTCCCGCACGCGACRTGAGTCACGGCGAAGGCAAAGCCGTTGCAACACGGCGGCTTTCCCCATTCCCAGTGGAAGYGGCTGCTCCGGGCTCTTGCAAAGGAGGATCCCGGCATCCTACATCCTTGGCCCGAGCCGCGATGGTGGCCCGTGCAGCACGGAGCCGCCGTGGGGAATGTGGGGAGGGAGGGGGCAGTTGGGAAAGGGGGAACCCACCTGCTTGTGTGCGGGCACCTCGAGGCGCTTGGGCCGCTGCAGGAACCTGGCCATGAGCCCACGGGTGCCACGGCAGCCCTTGAGGTCGCCCAGCGAGCGGGCGGCCGTCTTGGAGAGCCGCAGCGGCGCTGTCTTCCCGCCTGCCGCCTCCTTGCTCTTCCCGGCTGAGCCGGCGCGCAGGAGCCGCGGCGGCCGCCGGAGCAGCCAGCTCTCCGAGCACGGCCCTGTGGGAGCTGTCATGTGGGATACCGAGCATTGCGGGAAGCCCAGCACCCCAGCAGCCCCGGCGGGCTCTTCCCAACCTGTATCCGTGGAGGAGTCGGACACGGTGTCCTCCAGTGCTTTGGTATAAAGAACTTCCCTGAAATCTGCCCAGGGAAAAGCCGGCTCAGGCGGCGGCATCTCCGCACGGCACCACTCGAGCGCCGCGGATGCGCCAACACTGATAAACCCACCGTCGTCCCTGGCCACCGCCAGCGCGCCGGGGTCGCTGTGCCACCTGGCGAGTGGCCGCCAGCCCGGGGACGAGGGGCACGAGGAGTCGCTGCTGCGGCGCGGGCGGGCGCCGGGGCGGCCGCGCGGNGCCCGTCGCCGCCGGGCTCGGCCGTGGAGCAGGAGTAGGAGCGCTCGCCACGCGCCCGTGCCGCCGGCGCCTCCTCGAAGGGGCCGCGCGCCGCCAGCGGGGGGCTGCGCGGGTGGTGGCTGCAGCGCACGCAGTCCACGCTCAGGCAGTAATCGGCCCGGCTGCGCTGGATGGAGCGGTAGAGCACGTAGTCGAGCGCGCCCGGCGGCTCCAGCAGGCACGAGTCCTCCGAGGGGCTGCTGTCGCCCGGGCCCAGGGAGCCGCTGCCGCGCAGGGCAGCCGCCCGCCAGGCTGCTGCTGGCTGCAGCTCGAACAGCGTGGCCTGCGGTGACAGCGCGGGGGGGACGGTGACAGCGCGGGCGGACAGTGACAGCGCGGGGGGGACGTGGAGGTGGCCCTACCTGGCTGTCACCCCGCAGCCCCATGACGGTCTCGTAGGAGGGGGGGAAGTCGCTGGGGTAGAGCAGCCCGGGGCTGTCCATGGAGCCGTCGTAGGTGATGCTGCGAGCGAGGACGGCGGCGTGAGGCGCCGCGGCGGCGGCCCCGTCCCCGCACTGGCGCGGGCGCTACCTCTGCGCGTCCGTCTCGGARCTGCACGTGTACTCGGGCGGGTAATAGGGCGGCGGCGGCACGGGCGGCACGAACTCGTCGGGCTCCTCGGCGGGCAGCGGAGCGCCGGGCGGCCAGGCGCACTCGGACGAGCCCGAGCGCTGCGGCAGCGGCTGCAGGACGCAGCGGCCTCAGCGCTGGCCCCCGAGCGCCCGTGCGCCCCCCCGCCGCCCCCATCGGCGCCGTCCCCCACCCCGTGGGCGCCGCGCGGGACGAAGACGTGAAGGCAGCAGACAGCGGCGGAGAGGGCGCAGGCCACGGTGGAGCAGACGGTCAAGCYGCAGACGCTGAACAGCAGGTCCTGGGGAGGGCGGACGTGAGCGGCAGGCGGGCGGGCGCGGGGGACGCGCTGCCGGCGGCGGCACCCACCTTGAGCGCCGCGCGGAGGCCGCGGCAGTCGGGCTGCGCGAACAGGGCGAGCGTCTCGCTCTGGCCGCCGCAGGAGGCGGCCGCCGGCCGGGCCCGGCAGCACACGCAGGCGTCGCGCTCCTGTGGGCGGGTGGCACCGTCACCGTCGCCCCGCCGGCACCCGCGGGGTACCCCCGGCGCCACCGTCCCCCGCGCTCACCCTCTCGCAGGCCTCCAGCGACGCCACGAGCCGGGCGCTGCGGCACGAGAGGACGGCGCCCGCCAGGCTCAGCGCGACGCCCAGCGCTGAGAGCAGCGCGAAGAAGGCGACCTGGGCCGGGCGGGAGGGTGGCCGCCAGCTCGGCAGGGCCGGGAGCCCCCARGGCCGCGCAGCGCCGCTCGCCGCCCCCGCGTACGTACCACGAGTGTCAAGGGCCTCTTGCACGAGATGATGCCCACRATGCCGGAGAGCGCCAGCTGCGGGGACGCGGCACGGCCGTGGCGGTGGGGACAGGGCTGCCGCCCACCCAGTGCCCGGGACCCCAATGGTGCCGGTCCCCGGGGACCCCAACGGTGCCGCCACCCACCCGGTGCCGGGGCCCCCATTCCCCCGACGGCGCCAGCGCGCGGGGAAACTGCTGATTCAGGGTCCGCGGGCCCCGCGCCCGGCAGCTCCCGCGGGGCCGCCCCCGCCCTGCGGCGGCACCGGCCCCGCGTCCCCATCCCGGGCGCC